TACGAAGTGACACTTTGCTGCACATGAGAGAAATGTTTACGTACGAGTAAAAGGTGAGTGTGGAAAGTTTCTCGAGTGCAGCAAAGGTAATTTGCACTCGTGTATATTTTTCATATTATATTTTTCCTACAGTTATTATAAAGCATAGAAATAATTAGTCTTTCAAACGCTAAACAACACGTTTTAGGTTAGGTTAAATCCAAGCGCTTAACGAAATGGGAAACACTGCGCCAGCCGATCATAGTCTCAGTATCTTTATAGGCTAGGCATATTAGGAATATAAGTAGCAGTTAGCGGAAAGTTTAGGTACAGTCCTAATCATAACTTTACTTTATGTTTTTTGGGTCGCTGAATATGAATATGAGGTTTGCTGACAGATATTTTGCCCGGAATATTGTTTATTTTGTGAAAAGCCTTAAAATTTGGGCACTTTTTTTGCTTTTTCGGACAAATCTCGGTAAGTATGAGTTTTTGAGTAACCCTGTTTTGTAAAATTAAAGATGACAAAATTTACTACAAGTTTCCTACATAATGTTTGTTTCTACGACGAACCGTTTCGCCACTAGAGCACCCTAAAAAAGGCCAGAAGTACAAAAAATTAAAAACATTGCTAAATGCTGCCGTTTTACACTAGGTTTCCATGGAAACAACCCATACGATAATCTATATATATAATACGCTAAGCCGATTTTTGTAAACAGAACTCCTCCCTCATTTTTGGACCGATTTTGATGATTAAAGTGTCAAATGAATTGCCCTGATCTGTAGTTTTGCAAAGTCTTTTTCGTTTTTTTGAAATATTTATTAGTTTGGACAGGATATTCCATCAAAGTTGGATTTTCTCCCATAAGATTAACATGGGGGAATCTAAATATTTAATTGGAAACTTTGTCTCCATTAATTTGAGAGAACGACTGGGCGTAGAAACTTGGTAGAGGTGTCCAAAGAAAGGTCTTGGTCTCTAGATGAGTTACCAAAAGAAAAACTAAGTGAATCCTGTTAGGGCTCTGCCCCAGAAGCCCTTAAAGATCCCTCCACAAATTTGTTTTCATTTTGTCCATGTGGATAATACTTTTTAATGAAACAGCTGTTAATTTTTGAATTGTATTTTAAACAACACACATTTATTGGGAGTTGCTGAATTCCACCAAATAAGTATTTGCGATTTTATTTTCTGATTTTAAAATAGATTTTCTTCTTTATCATGTCATGTTTTGCAATATACCGTTCCATTACGAAATCAGTGGAAAATCCTTTTATCACAGCAATTCTTAAATTATTTCTTATTGAACTATTTTATATCTATTGTACGGGTTGGTGTCTGCCTTTTTCACCACTTTTGGCTATATTTTATCATATTATTCTAGACAGATCATCATAGGTTCGTGAGATTATTGTCATACATGTTTTCAATCATTGAAAAATCTTCGATTTTGTAATACAATACAAAATAATACAAGTGCAGAAGTGTCTTTTAGCTTTAACATTAACCCCACAACCGATTTCTCAAAACTATACTAGAGGGTAATTCATTGGCACAGAAGTACGATATGAACTGATGTGACGTGTCGAAGGAAAAATCAAACTTACACTGTGAGGACCTCCCTTTCAAGTTAGAACGTGTCTCCTCAACAAGCAGACATTTTCTCTCAAATAAAATCATAGATTAATCCTTATTACACTGATGAAATCGGGGAAGTTTTTAACTAAAAAAGATCCACCAATACGATTTTAGTACTGTTTAAAGGTTCTTCCAAAGTATGGGAAATATTTTATTCGTTGAATGATCAACCATATTTGGTAACTAACGCAATTAATATCATTATTGTTTTTACACTTATTTACTCTTTAAACAATGTTAAATGCTCAAAATATGTATAATTTTACTCAATTTATCGCAGTTAGATGAATTAGCGTACGCCTTGAAAGTAACCGTCGATTTCAACGGGTTTCACCTAGTTTTAACTATTTATTCATGACAATAAACTGAAACACACCTAAAAATAAACAAACTAGTGTGTCCTCTGACCATAAGCCTCCACCTGAAAGAAATACCCGTCTTTTAAGATTAAATTGGGGGAAATGGTGAAAGAAAATTTTTTTTTTATAATGTTAATAACCTCATGAATAGGTTGGTTGGTAGGATCATGTAATTCACTCTCTTCAGGTTGAAGGTTGGCATTCCATCCATCCTTTTTTTGATGGGCCCAAGAGGAGAGAAAAAGCATCTTCTTCCACATCCTCGTTTGCTTCTAAGGCTTCCTCAAGGGTAAGAAACTGAGGACCAAGTTTATCTTATATTCTCAGCTGCCTACAGTTTTCTCCTTTATAGCAAGGCAAGGAGTGGTGAGTATGTTGTCGATTGACTTTTTCTTGGTCGATTCTTGGTTTTTGATGGTTGAAAGGTTGATGATATGGCCATAACTTTTGTGTAGTAGGAACCCACCATCAATAACATACTGCACTTGACCATGGAAGTGCTTGTTTTCAATGGGGACAGGGGCTTTAGGCCTATAAAGATTTGATTTGGTTCCTTGTGCAAACCGTTATTATCAAACAACGAGAAAGAGTATGGACCCTGTTCGTAAGACAAGAAGTGTTTTAGTTCTTCATCAGAATTCTTAGCGATGCTGATACGTTGAAACAATTTGTTAGGGTTTACGGGTAATAATTCTCTACTTTCATCGCGTTATTTATTATGGCACGTGGCTGGATACCAGGTACGTGGTCTGCTCGTCTGAATTTGATGTTGCCAAAGTTAAATTTATCTAACTCTTTTAATGTCTTTCATCCTTTTTTCTCAATCACTATAGCAGTCAACCCTGTGGCCTAGTGGCCAGCAACATCCCTGTGCTGAGAAAATAAATGGGGATTTTGTGGCAATGGGAAATGTTCCAGCAGTCAGTCATACATCTTGGCATAGATATATCAAGTGTGTTTCAGTTCATTATCATGAATAAATAGTTCAAATTATCGTAAAATGGGTTGTTTCCATGGAAACCTAATGTAAAACCTTTGTAAAATGGTTAGAGTTTATTTTCATTTTTGGTACTTCTGACCATTTTTAGTGTGCTCTAGTGGCGTAACGGTTCGTCGTAGAAACAAATATTATATAGGAAACTTGTAGTAGATTTTGTTTTCTTTAACTTTACAAAGCAGGGTCTTCTCAAAAATCCATAATAACCGAGATTTGCCCGAAAACCTAAAAAATGTGCCAAAATTTTAAGGTTTTTCACCAAATAAACAATGTTCCGGGCAAAATATCTGTCAGCAAACCTCATATTCGTGTTCAGCGACCCAAAAAACATAAAGAAAAGTGATTATTAGAACTGTACCTAAACTTTCCGCTAACTTTCCTAATATGCCTAGACTATTAGTGTTATCATAGACAAACTTTTTGTCTATGGTGTTATCAACTTATTTTCAAGCGTCCACGTATTACGCGCCTAATAAAAGCATACTGTTTTTGTCGTTTGGTTGGAATACTGAGTGCAGCAAAAATGAGTGAGGCAAAATCAAGTAAATGCAGCAATTATATTTTTTATAGCTACTTTGCGTGCTATAATCAGTACAAGAAAGCCCACTTTGTCAGAGGTAACTAGGAAAATTATATTTTCTATGTTGTTTTATATCATTTTTTACTACTCCAAGCATTAAATGTTGGGATCATGTCATTTAAGTGTACTTCACATACAAATTATAGAAAATAAGATATTTGGAAACCACGTATAACTAAAAGAAGTTTTTAAAGTTTGGAAATATACATTTCATACCAACTATGCATGATCGATTGCGATTATAATGCTGACTTAATTATTAGTAGATATATTCTGATAGTAACATTTTAATAATAACATATTGTAAAACTCTTATCCAACACGCTAGTGAACTATTCACAAAACAAGATTAAACTATTCAATAAATCCAGATAAATTCAGTATATTTGACAACAGAAAAATAATACTAATTTTACTACTTAAGAAAACATTTCAAATATCTTAAAAAACCAACACAACTGTATAAATGATAATCACAAACAATCGTTTGCTAATTATTATCAACATCAAAATAATTTTTAAACCACTTATTAAATGAAATAGCACCTACGATATTTCGTGAAAATTGTCTCATTCATAAAAACCTAGGAAAGCGTTAAACGGCCATTACCGGTGCCAATTTAAAAGCAATCATATTATGCAGAGTGGGGTTGTTATAACATGACATACAGCCCCAAAGGGCCCATTTAAGACGTGAAATAAAGACCCCAAAACACCTTTGGCGTCTGATGATGCCTTTCGTTCACAAGTTATTCTTTGAGTTTCGAAGTATTTATTAGCTATGAGGTATGTAGGCTTTGGTAAGACAAAATTTGAAACAGCGGGCTTTGATGAAGATTACCCAAATCAGGAATATGTTTACTTTGTAATAAAATGTATTTAATAATAATACTTGGAAAATCCAGATTCCGTTTTTGATACAAGTTGTTATTTGGGTGGAATTTGTAAGGGATATAAGGAATAGTGTACTAAGGTGAATTTACTGATGGTTTTCATTGGAGTTAGCATAGTAGCATTTTTTGGTAAAACCACGAATATTTGAATATAGAAAATAATTGGCTACTCGCACAGTGTGTTACAACTAAAACTTTTAGTCTTCCTTAGTTTTTGTCACTGTGATAGCTGGTTAAGAAATGACCCGCTACCATTTATTAACAACTGCGTTGTGCACACGACGAAATATGCTATAGATTACAATAAGCCGTCCCATCAGTTTACCTCGGAAAAAAAGTCCACACATTCGACAGAAATCATTCGTTTCAGCGCGGCATGTCAGTGGTGTAATTTAACGTCGTGCATTTTGATAACATGTATGTATGTATTCCCACTTCGAATTCCCTATCTTCGAACCTATCAATTTTCAATATTCAAAGGTTACATCCAATTAATTTTAATAGATTTTCTTATACTCCAGAGTTATGCCCTACCTCTGTCTGCCCCCAGGCATCAGTTCTCCAAGGGTCGGCTCCGACGACTTCCCACTGCCGCCTCCTCGCCATGTGTCCGCCAGAGTACACAAGGATGTCTCCCAACGTCACGAGCACGGAGTGTCCTTCATGTTCGTCGCCTGGGGTCAGCTGGTGGACCATGATCTCACACTTACCGCGGAGACTAAAGGTGAAGTATTTGGCTGAGCAATGTTAGACGAATTAACAATGCAAAAAGATTCAAAAACTTAAAGATAAAAATGTATAATTACTTTACTAAGACAGTTGTATACAATGTGTACTTCAAGCTGAATTTGAATACAGGGTAAGTGCGAAATGGAGTCAGTGATATGTGTAGGTTTGTTAGGACTAAGATCATATGTTCATTTACGCATTTCATATAAGCTTCGGTTGACGCCCCCTCATATAAGACCATTATGTTTCCTTTAACTAACTATAACTAGGTTCATTTATTCTTAATAACCAAAAAGATCCAGATAAAGCTTTGGACAATCAAATAGTTACCGACTTGTGGGGTATAACGTATAAAATCACCAACCGGCTGTATACATTTTTCATTTAAAAAAGACATAATTGAATAGGCCTTCTACACTGTTCTACGTCTACAACTCTATTTATTCATTATTTTGTAACTGTGACAAATTTGTAATAAAATAAAAATAAAATAATAACGCGATATCAAATTTTTTGTGAACTTTTGGAAAAACTACGATTTGGACAGATAATTTTTGAAAATTGTACATGAAACATTAGAGGTTCATTTACTATAATGAGATAGCATTTATATGGCAAACATTGAAATTAATTAGTCTTATAGCTCTTATAATAATTCCATATTTTAAGTGTATGTTTTTCTGTGTCATTGGCAACCTTATTTTTTTAAGGCAACCGTTTTTATTTGTATTAATAAATTATTTTCTCTCTCATGTAACGAAAAAGATGCTATAGTGCAGTAAGTTTTCCTTTTAGTTTTGATTGATTAAACTCTTCGCATTTGACATGAATCAGTAATAACACAATGGCTCAATTCAACCTATGTTGCTTTCTTATAAAAATGACAACAATTTTACTATGATAATATAATGTCTACTCGTACCAACAGACATACGAACAATATTGTGAAGATGTGGTTTAGATTCATTATTGTAGACTTTTTTCTCACTAGGCCTCCTTGTAAGTTTACTCATATGTTCTATTTTCATTAATCTTGTTCCTCCTTCTCATTCTAAACAGCTGATTGCACGACAGAAAACAAATTCTAGACTAAAATTGTTTATTATTTCGGGAATTATAAAAATTCCGTCACGCCAAACAAAACTTTTAGGATTTAAGTGTAGGATCAAACAGTTCCTGAAGTTGCAGAAAAGCTGTAAAAATCAGTCTCCTTATCACCTTAACGATCGCGGATTTACATGATCAGGATTCAAATGTAAATAAGAGACGCGCTGAATTGAAACGACTGTTTTGGGGATTCAAGTCTACCTTGTGCTGCAAACTTTAAAATTTATGTCACCTTGGCATTCGGTTAGACATTTTCGTCCGGAGCCCCGAGTCAAGAGGGGAACAACTTTAACTTTCTGATTTATGCATCTTAATGTGAGTTTATCGAATGAACACGTTTTAAATATTTACGCTCGAAGCGTGATCGAACAGTTCTCGCTAGAGTAGGGATTTGGTTGGCTTTTGATTGTTGATTAATAGTAGTAGCGAAATAAATGGTGTCAACAATCTGACCTGTACTTTCTCCCATTTGCGTGTTGAGAGGATTTTATACATTCATCATTGGTGAGCGGCGGGAGTTACTATTACATTTATGGGAAAATCACAAAAGTTGCAAAAGATTTTGAACCATAATTTTTACACAAATGGGGGCAGTTTCCTTTTGTTTATAATCATACGGACCATAACATATTAAATTTAAATCAAAATCGGTCTGGCAGTTTATCTTAAAACCAGACTTTTCAGTTATTTTATGGGGTTTTATGGCAAAAACACATAATTTACTATGCCAGTTAAACCTTGAATACACAGTAATGGAGATTTTACCATTTTGTTAGGATTTCAAATTAAAAAATAATAAATTTTAATGCAATTCGTTTCGGACATTTTTGTGAAAATTTAACATTTTTCATTTGTTATGGGGGTTTTTAAACTGTCGTTAAAAAAATACGCCTGGAGGTACAATAAGTACATACAAAATTAATAAAAAATCTACCATAGTTGTGGTCTGTATTTTGAACACACCCACACGCAGATATCACTTTGAAAACCAGTTTTTGGGGTGCTGAGGAAACACGGATATTTAAAACTGAATATATCCACGCAAAACTCAAACTCAAAAATGTCAAGGAAAACAATACCTTCTCCATATAACCTTTACTCCACATCTTTAATCGTAGTGCACCTTCACACTAAGTGTAGCACTAGGCTTGTTTACAATTTCCCCAAAAATAGCATTCAGATCCCTCGCGAACCTGGTGACAAAACGTGTCGTAAAACAAATTAGACATTCCAATAAGAAAGGCTATTCTGGATATGAAACCAAATCCGGAAATCCATTGGATCAGCTTGGTTCGCATCCATTTCGCTTAATCGAATCCTGTCACCTTCTATCTGCCAGGTTGGCACTATCGATTCAACATGGCTTTGTTCAATATTAGGGTGGCATCCCTGCAAATAAATCAGCTGGTCGAGAAGACGTTTCAAATTATTACCTTCGGCCCGTCTGTAGGGCGGGCTAAGCCGCCGGTCGCGCACATTTATTGTCTCTTAAACCAGCCAAATGACGTCATCTTTCATGTTCTCACCCCACGTATCAGTTTTTTTACCTTTCCGTAAAAAGTCAGAGCTGATATTGATAAGCTGCTTTACAGGTGAAGGGGGTTCATACATGAGTAAAGTAAATCTTATGTAAATTAAATAACGGTAATATTGATTGTTATTTAAAGAAATTTGAATATAATTACTGTGTTATACGAGCTTGATACTAGGTTTTGATAGCTAGGCCTTAGGTTTTGACAAGTTTGATCCCATGTATCTAAAACATAACTTTTAAATATGCAAATTCCTGAAAAAATATGCAATTTGAGAAGTTATTGTTAAAATCAATGAAAAAATAATTCACCCAAAATACCAACAGTAAATATTTTTACCCGAAACGAGTATAGATCTAATAGCATTTTTTGCTCTGATTGTTAAAATTTTCTTAAAAAAATTTCCAAAATCTAATTAAATATTTTGGTCGTCAAAACTGATTTTTAGAAAGTGTATCCTATTTGAAAAACCCTTAAAAGTTCACAATAAAAATATAAAAGATAAAAATACATCCATGTATCATTTAAAAGTAGTTAGTAAATTGGTTGAGTAATATGGGTAACGGATTTGGTAAAAGAAACAAGAATATACCATGAAACAACAAAATAACATGTTTAAATGGTTGAAATGATTATAATCTTTTTGCGTTTATTGCTAAATCCTACCAACATTTATCGATATATTTACACACAATACTGTAAACATTTATAAAACGATAATCTACTACAGTGGAAATTCAATCAGTCACTCTGTCCATACCCAATCGGACTTAGTAGCGCCAAACACGTGAAGTGCTACTAAAGGAGTAATATACTAAATCATAATTCAATTTTTATTTTTTAAGATAAACTTTTTTAACTTACTTTTGCACTGACCATATGAAGTTTCACCATATATGTATGTAAAAGAATCACACGCAAATCTCCCGCCAAATGTCAGCGAAGACAGCTGACGACGTCCACATTCACAGTTAATGGCGACGTTCGAGGGAGTAAAAGAACTCAATTAAGCCAAGTGGTGATCCGCTGACTGGGCAGTGGTCGCCCCTGCACCCTTCCCGCCAAAACCTACCCTCCAAAAACCCAACCTTCAGCCAATCTGCCGCCCTAACCTTATCTTGATACACACTTACAAATCGACCACCATATATTCTTGCCTGCGAAAGACAAGGCTTAGCGACTGGATCTGGGGTTTCTTGCTAAAGGTTTAAACGGTTTTATCAACACGTGAGGATAATTATGGACGCTTTTATTTGTCGATTGTGGTAAAAACTAAATGTTTATTTGAAGTATATTATAGTTGTGTTTAAAATTTAGAACTGATAAAGATATTTTGTTATAGCCTATAATGGATTTATCTGTTTATTTTACATTATGGGTAAAAATAATTACAGTTCTCTGTAAACTTGGACTTAGGTATGGGTGAACATTTTAATTTTATATATGAATACAAATTATAATTCATGCTAAAAGTTGTGTGATTTTTCGGTTGACGATCTAATATGAACTATACGTTTTGATGTCATATGGTAGAAATACACTGGTGAATCACTATCAGGGTATTTTCATTTGCTTTTGGTGTATGAAGCATCAGAATCAAAATCGTAAGGTTTTCTTTGAAAGTTCAATCCAGACCGAAGGGTACTAATTATTACAAATAATCAGTAAGTAATTAGTAAGAAGATATGTGTTTAAATCCAAAATATACTTTTGATAGGTTAACAAACTATGCGAATCAAATAGGATTACTAGTAAAGTTGCTAGATTGCAGCTTCGACTTTTTCCCTTTAGGTTCTACCTCGAAATAGTGTAGCACATTAATTCAGACTAGGTGATCAGACACATTGGTGATTAGAGGGATTTGAACCCAGGACCCACAGCTCGGACTTAACCGAAGGCTAACAATCACCTCACATCCAGATCCAGGACATAAGCAGAAGGCGAAGACAAATTTATTCAATTAAACATTCGCTGTATCAAACGTGAAGGGAGGATACGGTCCATTAAACCTGAGAAATGTGGAGCTTATCCCACAATATATGTGTGGTTAGAGAAACCGTCCCGGTCGCAGCAATATCTCAACAAATGGCTGGATAATCATTTGATACGTCTTGCCGAATCAGCTGATTTAGAACAGGTGATCTTTTTGTCACATTGTTGTGGTGATAGCTCTTATTTAGTTCTTTAGTTTTAGTGGCATAATCCTGTAAAATTACTGTGTAGTTTAAATTGTTGTGGATATGTATGACTGTTTCCTCGATTACACTTTCTGGACTCAGTTATAGGAGAAAGTGCTCTAAAGTGATTTATTCATAGGAATTCATGTGGGTCTTTCAAAAGCTAGATTTAAAAAATCTTGAATGTAAATCCAATGAATTTTATCTTTCACACGTTGTATTTCTCATATATACATAGAGTAATACACGACTAAAATACTCTTTACAGGAATTCTTTGTTACTGGAACGAGTATTTTGAACCTAATGTTACGAAGTAAGTTGGAAATCCAATGCAACGGTATCATTTTCAAATAAAAAAAAAATACTTATGCGTATGTCCAAAAGGAAAAATTTGGAAAGATTAAAAAATTATTTTCGTTTTAGGCAAAACTATCTAAAATCCTTGGATATATGGATAAAATGAATGGTCATACCTTTAGTAACAGATGTGCTAGTCTGTAACAAAGCTACACAAGACATCTCACTTTAAATTGCACTACCTTAAAGCTAATAATGCATATGTGGGTTGAAACATCAATTATTTTTTTACTAGTAACAATAATTAACTGAATGTCATAATGTTGTTGAAGGACATGTTGTTGTAGCTTTTTGCGTTAATAGAATACACTCTTTGTTACTTTAAAACTGTACTACATAGAACTAGTAGATTCACTGAGCAAGAAAATGCAACTGAAGGTAGTACTGGCTTGATAATTTTGTTAGCAAATCGAGACGCTGTAAAATTTTGTTATCTTGGTACCAAATAAAGGAATCAACCAGCTCATCGGCTCATGGTGTTCTCACAATCATACAATCCCTAATTCCCTTGGTTCCGGGGAGCAAGCTGGTCTAGTGGTAGTGCGCGGGACTTCGGTTCCTGAGGTCCCAGGTTCAAATCCCGCCAAATTACCAATAATCTTTATCTAAGTGATAATGCCGCAACCCTAGGTCTAGTCTGAAGTAATGGGAAACTCTATTTCTACCTAGAGCCTAGTGTCAAAGGACAAAGAATTCCCTAGTTCTAATGCACTAAGAATTACAGTGTAACTTGGTATATTAGAATGGTAGCCAATGTCTCGCAATTCTCTCATTCAGTGCTGCCTCCAGTTGTATCTCTAGCTCAGTGAGTATATTAACACACTATTGCCAACGTAACTGTATATTTCTTCACCACCCTCTATCTGACCCTCTCATTCTCCAGACCCGGTGACCCGGCGGGACCCTGACTGCTGCCACGGGGGCGGCGTCGACCCCAACTGTATGCCTCTGGAGGTTCCTCCCCACGACCCCTTCTACAGCCATTACCACCAGAGGTGTCTCAACATGCTGAGGTCCGTGGCGGGGGTGCGGCCTGGCTGTCGTCTTGGTAAGTCAAATTGTGGTTTGTTACAAATTAAACCTTTTAATATTAGAGATTTTGTGGTTTGGAGCTAGCTGGTCTAGTGATAGAGCTCGGGGCTTCGGTGCCCGTGGTTCCGGGTTCATATCCCGCCAATCATCTGTGGATTTTATCCATCTGATAATGTTGTGATCCTCAATGGATAGTCTGAACACATTACGTTAAACAGTTCCGGAATAGATCTAGCGTCCTAGGATGTGAAGGTGGGGAATAAAAATGTTTTAGAGATTTTAGGATTGAGGTTGTCTAGAGGAGCGCGAAGATTTAATCCGGGAGGTCCCGGGTTCAAATCCTTCTAACCCCAGATGGATTTAGTTGTTTATTAGTAAATAGATACGCAATTTTTACAGGAAAAACATAGGTTGTCTGTGTGACAACTAACTAGTTGAGTACATTAGTAGTGAAAAAAACGATAGTAAGCAACAAGAGTAGCAAGAACAAGACATAAGAAAGTAGCTCAAAATAATTAATTTTTATAAATAACTAGCATAATAAATAACAATGCAATAAACTCTAAGCAACAAGAAAATAACAGGATAGATCTAGTATCCCTATGGTGTATGATGGTCATTGTACTCACATGTAACATCTGCTTGCTAATTGTGATTTTATGAACTGTAATGAATAATTCGAATGAAATCGTAACAATCAATATCAATGTACTAAATACTGTGGTATAATGGTCTACCACAGACATGTTTTTGAACACTTTTGAAAGCTACAAAGCCGTTGTTCGAAAACTAAATAGCTAAGGGGTTCTTTATTTCTAAAACAAACCAAGCCACAAAGAGTACAAATTAATTTCTCCCTCTGTTTCTCATCGCTTCATGTTTTCTTAGCGCGAACCACTCTCAATCGCCGCCCATTCTACTGAAATGAGAACGTTTAGTACTTGTGTTGTCATGTTAAACTGTTCACTTATAGTTTATGTAGATATTTAAATATATTTTCAATGTATGCCTTATGGTCAGTTGTTCAATAGATTTAAATTAGTACGCATAAGAATAGAAACACATTTTAGTGCAAATTTGACAGGAAAATTTAACATTATATCAGGACTAGCAGAGTACCCGTCCTTCGTACGGGGTTGAAATATAAGTATAAAATGCTTATTGCAGTTATATTCAAGCTTTGCGTTTGCAATAAGGGGGGACACAGTTTGATAAAATTTGCTTTTTTAAATTTACAGTATTCTATTGTATTACACATCTACCATAGCCATAATGTTATACCACTTCACCTAAACAATAGAGAAAATTAAATTATCAACAATTCGCAAAATATCACAAACTAGTGTCCCTGTTGCTCGAATTCGAGCAATTTATAAGTATTAGAGTCGTTATTTTAAAAGGAATAACGGTCATAATTTCTGATATTTTTAAGAGATTCGACCCTAAGATTATGGAAATATTCAAGATGTACATAACAGAATATATCAATTTATCCAGGTTCTCTCGCTTTTTCCATTGTAATATTTACGCCAACCTAAATTCAAATAGTAAATATGTATTTCATTTCAACCAAGTCAGTAAAATGTTTGTAGCAAACTGTTAAATTAGCAAACTTTTATCATAAAGAAAATTAGGTAAAAGTTACTTGGCTTGGTGCTTTCATAACTGCAAACTCAAAATACACCCACAAGTAAAAAAGAATCAATTTAATGGCAAAAAAAAAAACAACTATGTTTGTGTAAAAACATTGTTCACATGAAGTAGGTGATTTTTTTGATTTCTCGATCAGCTGTTTCGTTTGCAATGAATTAATAATGTCAATGATTTGTGATTTTAAATTCATAAATTATTATAGTAAAGTTTTCTACATCATGGTAACTTAGTCTCAACTAAATTTTACTATTCCCAGCATTAAAATAAAGTAGTGAGATCCATTATGAGTAAACGTTAAGGTACACAATTCTTTGATTGAAATGTAGTATACATTAACAGTCATAATACACAGCAATTATTATGTAGTAGACTTTGACTATTTTCAATTAACAAACATATGTTTCATCTGTAAATAAAAATTATCTCCCATGTTATCCTTATGGAGAAATACGAAACTTTAAAGGGCCCCAGGGCCTCACTCTCTAACTATTTCCTTAAAAAGAAGGTTTCCTGCACAACTTCACGTTACGCTCTTTCCAATGACACCAAAAACATCTCAATCGGTTCAGTAGTTTCGGAGGAGTAATTGTCACAAAAAACCTGCTTGCGTATTAAATAAGTACTAGTGGTCGTCCTGTGGTCGAAACTCGACCAAAAATAATTAATGTACAGACTTCTCTATTTTCTCCCCACACTGTAAATAAAACATGTGATTGGAATTTCTTCCATTTGTTTTGATTTTCTGTTTATATTTTGTTGTTATTTCGTCACCATCATGGCAACCCATATGGACCATGTTAATTTTTTGAAGTTTTCAAATTCATTTTCGGTTCTTATTTGTTAGCCTATTTTAATTTTTAAAAGCATTCTGCACATCTACAGGAAAATATCTTTCCAACAGTATGCGTAGATTTTCCCTGCGATGCACACGAGCTGAGAAAAAAGGTTTTAAAGAAACATGCTTGCCTATTAATATATAGATAGATAGATTATTCATGAAATGAAAAACATAAACATAACTGTAAACAATCCTACTTTGGCAGTTCTCATTGTGAATCACAGTTTTTTGTTGCTGCTTAGTTCAAATTAGCTGTTTTCATAATTGCAAAAAAATATAGTGCTGCACCCTGTTGGTAAATCTTATAACTTTTTAATGCTTTTCCATATCATAGAACCAACTTTTTTAGTTTAAACAGCTGACTAAATTCATTAATTCCCTTTGAATATGAATACTCATAAGGTTAACATGGGGAATTACAGAGCCACTGGGGCGGAGCCCGAAAGGATTTTTGAGATAAGAATATGCCTATATGTTAATCGGGAATGTAAGCTATCATCATGCCAAATTTCAGCCCAATCCGTCTAGTGGTTTATGCGTGATTGAACTTCAAACAAACAAACAAACAAACACACAAACTTTCACATTTATAATATTAGTAAGATTATTCATATTTTTCACAAGGTCAACGAGCTTACGTCAAAGTATTTCTTTCGAGTGGAATTTGCAACAAATTTGTAAAACGAATAGAAGTGAAAGATGGGTCTGCTGTGTTTCAACAATAGAAAAACGATGGTAGCATTAGTAAAATACATTAGTTTTACGAATAATTTTCATACTGTTGATGAGTTTAAAAGAAAGTTATACTATATAGCATAAGTCCCATGCTTACATACCCCACTGGCATAGATCATTGACATAATTCATATTTTACATATTTACGCTAGTTTATTACTATTTGGTTTTAGAAACTTATACTCTTAAGTATAAGTCACATAGGCCTACTGACATATCTCACAGCCAAAAATCATTATCATTTACGATCTTAATGTGATCTAACATCATAAGTATTATTCAACTTCTTAGTTTGGTATTATTAAAGTCCAGATAGAAAATAATTATTGAAGAAATCCAGGCCAACTATTCATATTATCTAATGTACTTTCATCCAAAGAATTGAATTCCTTTCAAGCCATACACTATAGTAAGTATTAAAACCACAGGATTATAAAATACTAATACTGGAGCTATAATATTATATACAGCAACTTACGCCTATAATTCGTGTTATCTGCGAAATACTTATTACTTACTTTTTCTACCTCCAATCAAAGCTATCTTTCTGTCCTTTCAATTTCCATAGTTCGCCTTTTCACCCGTAATGACTTATTTATAACCTCCCCTCTTTAGCAGCCCTCCAAGTCGAAGTTTATCGACTGGAATATTAAGTTTCTTTTTCCACACTCGACTGAATTTTTTCATTTCCCCGCCGTCGCGAAGGTTTTATCCTGTAATTAAGAATGGTAATAAGTCGGATCAGGCGCGGGTACAATCTTATCTGACTGCAGTCTTCGCGACATGAAACAATTCAATCAGGAGTATTGGATTATTATTCTATCATTGAAATTCTTCGAGACTACTGTGTTTGGATTGGTTTAGTTAGAACTTTACCCTAAAATAGCACAACATAATTAATTTTAAAAATCGCGTATGCAAGTTTTCTTTATATTCTGTAAATTTGTATTAGTAAGTTTTAGGATTAAAGAATTGACGAATGGTACTAAAATGCCAGGTTTCTTTTTAGTTCGGCAATTAACTGGTTATTATTGACAAATTCGGATATTCTAAATTATAGTCTATAACCAGCATAAGGCAATTCTAGAAGGCTAGAAACACCAACATCCTTTATTTAAACTATTTAACACATTATTTTGCTTAGATGAATAATATCAATGTCTTTGGCAATGCCACGCTGTCCTTGATTTGTAATCTTTTAATAAATATTCCTAGTTAAAAATATCTGGCCTACATATTTGTAACAACGTCCCCTTCCGGCACTCGATCCCATAATAAACTTGCCTATCCTAATTTGTATGGTCGCCATTTCATAAAAAGGTATTGAAGTATCATAATATTTGAGTTGAAATACTCATACTGTAGTTATTAGACTACCTTAATTACTAAATATCAACTCTATACGAGCGTTGAAATAGTTAAATAAATAAAACAAAACTTAAATAGCAAAATTCATTAATATTGTTTCGTCGCTCCAAAAATACTTCAAACTTAACTTGGGTAGAGACAATTTCTTAAATTCGAAGTCAAACATTATATTTTCCTGATGGGCAGACATTTTTTATGATGTATTTACAGTGCAATTGTTTTCTCCATGGAGTAATTAATTTCTCTAAAGGGAGCGAGCTGTGGCAGTGGTAGTATCTATAGTGGTAGAGCAAGGGCTTCCTATCCCGAGGTTCCGGGTTGAAATCCTACCAATCACCAATTGATTTTATCCAACTTATGTGATAATTCCGTTGAAGTAAGGTGGTAACAGTTCGGGGTTAGAACCTAGCATCCTAGGATGT